GGGGCTGGAAGGAAGTATTCCAAGTAATGAAATCCCAAGACCTACATCCAAGACTGCTCTATCCAGCAAAGCTTTCATTTAGAATGGAAGGGCAGATATAGTGCTTCTCAGATAAGGTCAAGTTCAAGGAGTTCATCATCACCAAGCCCTTATTATATGAAATGTTAAAGGGACTTAAAAAAAGGAGTTAAAAATATGAACAGTGAAAGGATAGCAAAGTCAGTTACTAACAACCACACCTAAAACAAACGCAAACTAAGCAGACAGCTAAATCAGGAGTGGAGCCACAGAAATGGAGATCACATGGAGGGTTAGCAACAGGAGAGTGGGAGGAGGAGAGGGAGGAGAAGGTACAGAGAATAAGTAGCATAGATGGTGGGGAGAAAATAGACAGGGGGAGGGCAAGAGTAGTGTGGGAAATGTAGAAGCTAAAGAACTTATGACACATGGACATGAACTAAAGCAGGGGAGTGCAGGTGGAAGAGTGTGTGCAGGGTGGAGGGGAATGAAGGGGGGAAAGGGGACAACTGTAATGGCATAATCAATAAAAATATATTTAAATAAATAAATAAAACCAATTGACTCAAAATAAACAGGAAAGAAATAGACTCATAAATACACAGAACATTTTGATCGTTCTGGATGGGAGGGGGTTTGGGGGCAGGGTGAAAAAGGTGAAGGGATTAAGAAGTACAAATTGGTAGTTACCAAATAGTCACAAGGATGTAAAGTATAGGATAGGGAATATAGTCAATAATATCATAATAATGATCTATGGTGTCAGATGGGTATGAAATTTATTGGGATGATTACTTACTAAGTTATATAATGTCTTATCACTGGGTTGTACGCATGGAACTAATATAATATTGTATGTCAGCCCTAATTGAAAAATAAAAATTTATTTTTAATTATAATAAAAAACAAGAAAAAAAAGGATCTTAGGGGGGGGGGAAGAGGGAAAAAAAATGTACTTGAAAAGTAACCGAATAAAATTATTAAAAAAAAAAATAAATAAAATTAAAAGATCTTAGATTCAAAGATACCATAACAGCTCTGCCTTGCCAACCACTGGACTATTTTTATGTAAGAAAATAAATAACCCTAAAAAAATAGAAAAAAATCTTTTAAGTATTTCCCTCAACTATTTAGGTTCATAAGTAAAAGTCTTTCTTTTGTTTTCCAGTAGGTGGTGCTGAAGCACAAGTTTTTATTTTCTCTTAATTATACCAGTGGGGTTTCTAGTGTATCTGTGGGATGATGTGGCTTCTGCCATGGCAAAAGTTCATATTCCCCAAGAATGTGGGCATCCCCTTCACAACTGCATCACCTATGTCTTGGGGCACCATACCTGTGGTGGGATGTGGCTGGGTATGGATCCCCTGGCCTGTGTGTTCCTGGAGCTGCCGTCCTGTAGTCAGAAGCCTCTTGCAGATCACTCTGTCTGAGGTGGCCCAGCTGTTTCTACCAGGCTACCATTGTGATCAGTAGGGGAGGGTAGGCAGGGGGAAGCAGTTTACATGTCTGCAGCTCTGATTTTTCCAACGGGTTTAACCACAATAGTGCAGACTACTCCGGCTAGAAATTTGTCTCTGTCTTTTCACCATCTGCTATGTGAAAATTTTACTGCCAGGTGGGCCACAAGAGGATGGATGTGTTTCCAAATCTGTAGTGTCTTTTGTCCAGTGATGGCAGGTTATGGAACACTCCCACCCTTTGCACCACTTCTCTGCCTCTGAACCTGAGCCCAGCCTCCATGTATGCCGGCCACCGAAGCCTGATTGTTCTCTGCCCGATTGTTCTCTGCCCCTTCAGTTTTCCAGTGGGGGTTACACCCCGATCCTTCACTGCTATCTCATCTGCTGGGGTTGCAGACAGTGCTGGGGCTGTTTACAACTTCCATCTCTGTCCTCTCTCCATCCTGTCTCCCCTGTTTACTCCCATATGCCCGCCTTCAGATGCCTCAGCTCATGGATCCCTCAGATGTGTTTGTGCGTTCAGCAGGGAATCCTTTGTTGAATTTTAGTTGTCTAACTTGTAACTTCAAGAGGAGAGACCTGGAGTGCCGCCATGCTGATGACAGTCACTCCCCAGAAAGCCTTTGGGTACACCATAGCCCTCCACTGCTTGGACAACAGTGGACAACAAATCGAGCACATATGTGTCAGTGTTTCTACCCCAAAATGTGAGGCTTAAAATAAATACCACTTACTTGTTCATGATGCTGCAATCTTGGCTGGGCTCAGCTGGGCAGTTCTGTTGTCTTGCTTTGGTCTTCATGTGGCTGCAGTCAAGTGGAGGCCTGATTGTGCTGGACAACTTCCCATGTATATCTTGGTAGCTGAGATGTTTGAAACCCCTGGGAGTGGGCCAGACATCTTTCTCCATATGTTTTCTCCAGGAGGGTAGGTGGATCTCTTTATATGATGGCTCCAAAAGGGAGTGTTCCAAGAGAACAAGTGCCTGCTTGCATCACGTATGCTATCGATCAAAGCCAGTCATGTAACCAAGCCCAGAATTAGAGGGATGAGGGGCACTACACAAGGGCATGAATGTTGGGAGGTGGGGTTATCAGGGGCTGTCCTGTACCAGCATACATGTGTTCTTCTGAGTACTCACAAAGTGGCAACTGACCCATGAAGAATTCCTAAGAATATATTGTATTTCATTGATTCTAAGAAGAACTCAATTGGAATTCATCTTACAAGCAATCATGTGGCATATTTTAATTTCTGCATTTTTTCCCATTGTGGTACATAAAATAATGGTATTTCCTATTGCTGATGGCATCTCAGATTCTGTTGTTATATAGGATGTATATCCTGACATGTATGAATACACATACAACTAACATGATAAAATGTCTCTAGGAAATTTTGCATTACTAAAAAGAGAATTATCAAATCATTTTCAATGGGAAAAGAAGGATAGCTTAGGGGCACAAGAGCATCAAATGAACAATAGCAAAATTATTTTCCCTGCTGGAATTTCAATAATAACAGTATTTTTATTTTATTTTATTTTTAAAAATATTTTATTTATTTGTTTTTCGAGAGAGGGAAGGGAAGGAGAAAGAGTAGGAGAGAAATATCAATGTATGGTTGCCTCTCATGTGTCCCCTGCTGGGAACTGGCCTGCAACCCAGGTATGTGCCCTGACTGGGAATCGAACCACAATTGTGTGGTTCACAGGCCTGCACTCAATCCACTGAGCTACACCAGCCAGGGCAATAATAACAGTATTTTTAAATTAATTATTCTAATAATTGCCATTAAAGTGTAAACACAATTAAGGATTCAGGCACTGAGCATACTGAGCAAAATGGGCTTTCATTTCCTATCCCACCTAATTGGAACTCCTTACCTGCTCTTTGCCTGTTGCTCACCTTTAGCTGTCAATCCACAAAGGCAGGTTTTTCCCCTGCTTGTGGGGCTAGTCATAGATTTGTTAGAGTTATCCAAGAATAACTGAAGGTATAACCAGTATATCAGAATGATATTGCAAACTGGGTTCTTTGATGAAGCTGTGGCATTGTATCCAATTTGCATCATGTAGTTATCTTTCTTCCAATACCTACCAGGTCTACATTTAGTATTCTGGACTGGCATTTACACACACACACACACACACACACACACACACAAAATGTATGTAATGCTATATAGCATACATTACACATAATGAAGAGCCACTGTGAGTTCATAGGCCCTTTGGGATAATTAGAAATGGGTGCCCCTCTCCCTAAGACATCCCTCAGAAAGGTTAGGCTGCTTTAGAACATGGCACATTACTGCCATCTGCTGGTAAATTGTGGTAAAAATGCAAATCTAGAATATCCAAGAGGTGAACGGTATCAACTGGAATTTTATGGTGCACATACTGAATACCATGTGGGACAGCCACAGATTATTAGACAGTAGGTTAGCCAAATGGCCAAGAGTATGGGTGTTGGAGCCAGGTTGCTCCAATATTCCCTAAATGGTGAACTTAGAAAGTGATATAACTTCTCCTTGCCTCCATTTTCTTGTCTATAAATGAGGACAGTCATAGTAGCTACTTCATGGGTATAAGTAATGATGAGTGTGCCAACACATATAAAGCCCTTAGGGTAATTCCTGGCACAGGGTGAGTGTCCTATGAGTGTTTGTTACCATGCCATTTTAAAATTCATTTAACAAATACTTACAAAGTGGCAGGCACAGTTCTAATGTCTCTGTAGATACTAACTTTTAATCCTCATACCAACCCTCTTGTGATAGGAAACAACGTATATAGAGGGATAGCTACAACACGTCAAAAAATGGGACATGTGAGGGTATAAATTCCAATAGACACTTGCAGATATTATATAACCCTCTCTGGGACATGTGACTGGAATTCCCACACCACACAGGGATTCCTATAGTCTCCCCAAGAAGTTATTGAAGACTTGGAAAGAGAAAAAGTGGTTCAAGATTCCTAAGCCCTTGGTTGGAGTGTTATCCTGTGCACTGAAAGGTCATGGATTCAGTTCACAGTCAGGCACGTACTTAGGTTCTGGATTCTGTCCCTGGCACATGTGAGAGGCAACTAGTCAATGTTACTCTCTCACATCAACGTTTCTCTCTCTCTCTCCCCCTTCTTCTCTCTCTCAAATCAATAAATGCATCTTTGGGGAAGATTTAAAATTAAATTAAATTTAAATTAATAAAATAAAATAGTTTAAAAAAAAGATTCCTAGGCCCTTACCAGACTCATAGGTTGGAGGTGAATACTGTGTGTGATTACGTATGAGAGAGTAGGAGGCAGGGGAAACTTGCCAGAGCCCAGCCTCCTGGGTTTACCCTGGGACCCGGTAAGTATTCTGTTGAGCATCAAGGAAAGCTCCAGAGTGGGCACAAAGAGCCTATCCTAGGACTCTGAGCTCCCCTCCCCAACCCCAGATTTAAAGATCCCTGGTTGGGATGCACAGCAGAGAATCTACAATTACTCACTGATTCCCCAAGAAATATGCAGGATGGCCTGGTGGGAAAGAGGACTTTATTGGGATGTTAGTGAGCAACACATGGGAGGGTGAATTCCTGGACCAAGCTGGTGGTCACATTAAAGAACAATAAATTAACTTACAAAATAAATTAAGGTGAGGAGGTCCCAAGCAGGGAAGCAGCTGGGAATACCTGGGGATATCTTAGGGATGGGATTTGGAATTGGAAAAGGGAAATACGAATTTCTAGCCCTCTCATAAGGGTGTGAAATGAACTTTTTCAAGATCCCTTTCCCAGTTTGGGAGTTGGGGCTCTGGGTTCCTAGGAAGGGAAAAGGTCTGGATTCAGCCAAAGGGATAAAGGGGGGCTGGTTCAGGGTCGTTCCTCCAGGAAGCGGTAAGTGGGATTCTCATAGCCATGACGCTGCAGTTCACGCAGCTGCTGCTCCTCCAGGGTCAGCATGGGGTCCACCTGCAACAGGAACAGGGGAGGGATAGTGGAGCACAGAGACCTGACTACAGATATTACAGCCCCTCCCCATATTACGTCTTTATGTCTCTCACCTCCACCACTCCATGGCTGATAGCCCCGTAGGGTTTCTTCCTGCGCAAGAGCAGCACTGAGAGAATGATGAGGGAGCCTCCACCTGCTCCCATGATCAGCAAACCGGACACGGCCTCTCGGGACACCCCTGTCCCAGCTGGTGCCTGCAGAGAGAAGATGAGGCAGGGGTCATCTCTGAGGCTTGCCAGGGCCTAGTGTGGCTTTGGAAGTCACAGCCTGGGCACTGACCTCTAACTCTCCCCCTCATTCATACTCTGGTACCCAAAACATTCCTCCTCTTACCAGTTCATCTCTCTGAATCTCCGATGAATGGGAAGGAAAACCCCTTGGAACAGACACATTCACCTGTGGGAGTAGGAGGTGTCAGAGAGCCAGGTATCTGGGCCCCAGCAGCTCCCTCCCCTAGTGCCAGAGAGGTCAATTCCCAGCCCTCATCTTCCCTAGGATCCTGAAGCCCATGTTCTCAGTACCTCTTCCCTTAGCCAAGGAATCCAAACCCCTAGCACCCTCCTCCTTCAGACCTTCAAGTTGAGCCCCATCCCCAGGGCTCCCTCAGGAGCCGACAGGGCTGACTAACTTACCTTCTGCTCATACTGTTCCAGTGGGGACAGCTTCTCTTTCCCAGGGAGTGCAGAATCTTGTTCTGTGGACCCTACCCCCCCCCCCCCAAATCCTAGCTCATTCCTGAGAGTCCAGAGTGGTGCTGCCCCTGCCTGAGGAAGGGATCAGAGGGGCACCGGACTCCACCCCAGGAGGCTTGCGGTTCTCAATTCCATTTTGGGCTTTGAGACTCATTGAGATTTCGTGGTGAAGGTCTACTCTGTGAGATACTTACCTTTTGGTAGGGCCATGGGGGTGTCTGCTGGCAGCCAGAAGAGGCATGAGGAACAGTGAAGAGAGGAGAGCTTCAGTGAAGGAAAAGTGGAGGAATACCCTCCCAGGGTCCAAGGCAGAAGGATCAAGGATCCTACAGAGGACTCTGTAAACTTAGACATTCCTCCCCATCCTCTCCCACTCGCTGTGATAGCTGAGACACTCCTAGACTTTGGGGCATTAGAAACTAGGATGGGGGCCTGTCTCCCAAAATCTGAGGTTAAGTATACTTGGGTTAACTTACCATCCTTGGAATCCAGAGGCTGCAGCCCTCTGTTGTCCTCACTGCTGCTCCCAGGAGCAGGGACCTCCAGTTCACTGGGACTCAGGTGTTCAGAGTGGAGGAGTTCCTCTGAGGGGAACATGCAGAAAGGTAGTTGAGGTCCTGAGCATAGGGACTCCGCAAAAAACCCCAAACTGGATAAATGGATGACATCTAAATAGTAAAGTGATTGGGGGTAGTCATAAGGATGATCTGGGAAAGGCGAGCTGCCTAGAGGCACCCCTGGCAGGGAGGATAGAGGTTGAAGTTGCAAGAGAATGGCCTCTTCGAAGAGCAGGTGAATCAGGGTTCAATGCGGGAGACACAGAGGAAGTCACAATAGATCTGGGGCTGTGATAAGTCACACCTTCTGGTATTTGTGCTTTTGTGTAGGCTCCTCCCCTTGGATTTGAACTGGGTTTGTCACGTGCTTTAATCAACAGAATGTGGGCCACCCATGTCTTAAGACTTGGCAGCTTCCACTTTCATTTTGGGGGTGGCCGAACCACAATGTAGGAAGTCCAGGCACCTTGATGGAGAAACAACATGGAGGGACTCCCTGGAGAAGAGAGGCCCGCGTCTACACGGAGAGGTGGTGAGGCCCAGTTGTGCCAAAGTCCCAGCCCCTCTCTGATCTGCTAACTGCATGTGTGACTACTGCCAAGACCAGCAGAAAAAGCACCCAGCAGAATCCAGGCCAGGATCATGAGCAAAGAGGATGGTTGATTTAAGCCAGTAAGTTCTGGTGTTTGTTCCACAGGGATAGGTAACTAAAGTGTGTGTGGGGTGGGGGGGGGCAGTCAAAGATTGGGAGTTAGGATCTACCCTTAGAGACCTGGAATGGGAAGCAGGGGCATATGTACTCACGGATCTGGGGTCGTAGCTCTTGAGCCAGGCGTGGGTTCTGGTCAAGCAGTCCCAGGCTCTGATTCATCCTTTCCTCAATTACTTGAAGGTGGGTCTGCACCTGTAAGGGAAGTGAGTATGAAGGATGAACTGGACAGTGTAGGCTAGAGATAGAGAAACTGAGGCAGGGTGAAGGAAGGGCAATAGGGTTCAATGGAAATTAGCACATAGAACTGACAGGAAGGATGGTACGAGGTCCAAGAACTGGGCTAGAGGAAGAAGAAAATTGGAGGAGGAGAAGCAGAATACAAAGAAAAGTAAAAGATGTACAGAAGATAGGAAGTGAGAGGCTTGTGAAAGGAAGTAAGGCATAAGGAAATGGGGAGTTACTAGGAAAGTGCAGCAGAGGAGACATGGTAAATAGAGTGCCAGGAATATGGTATAGATGATAGGAAATGGAGGCAAGCTTTAGGAGGGGCAAAAATAGGATCTGAGGAATAGAAAGTGAGGTATGAAGGGGTTCCAGAAAAGGAAGTAGGACTGGAGTGTCATGTAGAGATGATATGGCTCAAGGGCTAGACTTAGAGCTCAGGAAGAGAACATCCAAGAAATAGGAATTAGGATCTGAAGGCATAGCACAAGGATTCCAGGGAAAACAAGCAGGGTTAGGGAGAAAGAATTGAAGGACAGAAACAGAGTTCAAGGCACAGGAGGGGGGTTCTGAGAAATAAGAAGGATGTCAAAGACACAGGAGGGGGGTGCGGGGGCAGTGTTCCAGGGTCAGGAAGTAGGAATCCAAGGGAGTGAAAAGTGTCCAAGGCACAAAAGAGTGGTTCCAAAGAGAGGAAGGAGGTTCAAGAGACAGAAAGAGGGTATGAGAGACAAAAGAGTCTGAGGTATGAGGGCCAAGAGAATAGAGTCTGAGGGATAGCAAATGGTATTTGAGAGCTGGAAGAATGTGAGCACCTGGAAGCTCATCTGCTGGGCCTTCTCAGGCTCCATGGCAGCTACATGCTGGTAGTGTCGCAGAGTGTGCCTTTGCTCCTTCTGCTCTGCACGCAGGTAGCGCCGCAGGGCCAGCAGGACACGCTCTGGCTGTGGAAGGAATGAAGGCTGCTTAGGCCTGCCCCAGCCCTTTTCAACCTCTGCCCTCTGCCCCCACAGCTCCCACACCTGAGGCGGATCTCCCTGCAGTGCTGCCAGGAAACCTTCCAAGGCAGCCCGGCGCTGGTCGTTGATAAGGGCAATGACTCGGGTGGCATGGGTCTCCACCAGGCGCTGTCGCTCACCAGACACCTGTTCCTCCAGCGTCTGCAGAATGGACTGGAAGTGCTATCAAGGGGTGGACGCAAGATCAGGAGAGGTGAAGATGGGTGAAAGCCTGGGTCCATGGCATTCTGGAAAGGCAGGGCTGTAGGGCCAAACAGGGTGGGTGCAGTGGGTCTAGGTCTGGGCAGAGTCAGCTTGGGGGTGTGACTAGATCATAGGACACTGACTGAAAGGGGTGGGGATCCAGGGCAGATACCAGACCTACTAGGAGCCAAGCTGGTGGTATACACTGTATTCTGTAGGAACAATCTAGGAACAGAGCTGGCCTGTGTTAAGGTGAAAGGAAGTATTGTAGTAAAGGTAGAGCTCTAGGCCTGGGAAGGGCAAACTGGAGACAGACTGCCCAAATGAGACTAAGGCGGGTGGGGATGAGGGAGAAGCAAAACTCAGGGAATGGGCTAACTTAAGTGGGGATTATAGAGGGTAGGGCTGCACTAAAGTAAGGGTGAGAGAGGTGGGATGGAAAAACATGAGGCTGGGCCTACAGAGGACAGATTGAGTAAAAGTGAGATTAGAGGAGAAGGACCAAAGTCAGGGGTATGGCCTAATGGACAGGAGTGCATCAAAGAGAGGCTGAAAATGACCTCACTGTATCTGCAGGGGGACCAGCTTGGGAGAGGCCTCCAGAGCCAATTCTCAGAGGTAAGAATCAAGTTAAGACAGGGCAAAACATGGCCAATCTGAGGAGGACAACAATGTCAGGTTTGAGTTAGGCCAAGAGGAGAGGAGCTAAATGTGGGGGTGGGGCAAGAGAGGCTGATGTAAGTAGGAAGGGGTGGAACTGGATGAGACTGGGACAAGGCCTGAGCCTAGCTTAAGACTGGATGTGCCCCAGGTAGTGGACAGGTAGTGAGTAGGGCCAGCTGCAGGTTGTCCTACCTCATTCAGGGCCTGTCTGTCAGCTTTAGGCAAATTCTTGGACTGGTTGTCTGCCATGGCCCATTCACGCATCACCTGGGGGCGGAGACAATTTCAGGATTCTAGAATCCACTCTGCTCCACCCAGTGAGGTCCCCAATCCTTCTTTGTAACTTTGGAGGCTCCAGATCCCTTAAGTCCCACTGGTTCTTGGATTCCCAAGAGAGAATACTCAGAAGAAATTTAAGATGGAAGAGTACCATGCACTAGAATTTCCTTAGAATCTGGTGGCATCTCAATGGGATTCTATGGGTTAGAAATCCCTGGTTATTGTAGGGGTGATGCAGTTGAGAGCTAGGGGTTGATAGGGGCTTGGGGAGACTTTGGAGAGCCTTTGGAGATAATTCCACTTGTCCCTGTGAAATTTCTTGGTATTTATGGAGCTCTACTTTGTGGAGGATCCTAGGACCCTCAGTATCATCACCTCATTAATCTGGCGCATCCTTCGCTCCTCCAGGTCCATCTTGGCCCGCAGGAAACTCTCATGCTCACTGATTTCTCCAGGCATACCAAAGTACACATCCACACCATCTGTGGGCCTTGGGGTAGGAGTCACTGCCATGCCAGGAATCAGGGGATCAGGCTGAAGGCCATCTCCAGGTCACCTTTTCTACCCAGAGAACTACATTTTCTAGAGTGCACTGGAAACCACCATGTGTGGTTTAGTCGTAACTGCTGCTTAACTTTATGGGAAATGTAGTTCTGGACTGGGCCTATCCTTGAAAAGCTTAGAAATCCATTATGCCATTCTCCAATACAAAATAATCCTTAGGACCTACCAAATGGCTCCTCCACTTCCAGGTACCCCCAAACCACCCTTTTCATTCTCCACAAGCCAGACCTTCCACCTCTACTTTATCCCAAACTGCTCTCATCCCTTCCATTCCCCGCAGTCAGATCTCTCCCCCATAGGTCCCTCCCAAAGATGTTCCTATCCTAAGGCTCCCCAAATCATCCTCTCTCTAGGGTGGAGGAAACTAAGGATTCATAAAGGGCCTCACCTTTGCTGACCACTGCAGAGGGATGGGAACTTGAAGGCGGGACTCTTTCCTCCTCGCCTTCCTCTTCAGCCTGTAGGGGCTCCACAAAGTAATCATCTACCGGCTGTAGGAAGGATTCCTCCTCTTTCTTGTCCTCATCCCCCTCTACTCTGCCTCCCAGGGGCCAGGACCGGGTGGAGGGGTCACTGAGGAATTAGAAGACCCAAGGCAATGAGAACACGGGTCCAGGCTCCTAGGCTTCCACTTCCTGCCTCAGGAGCCTTGGGATGGGCATGGAGATTCCCTCCCACTCACCCAATTTCTGTCTCAGATGGGTCAGTGGTCACTGGAGGGGGGCAGCACACATACTCCACGCCTCGGAACCGATCCATGCCACAGGGCAAAAGCATGCCCGAGCCATGCAGGATGAGGCCCTGGGAGCTGCAGGCCTGTGGGAAGAGTGAGTGGGTCCAGATGCAGAATTGTGGGATAAGAGAGGGTAAAGGAGGGGCCTGGATGCCTGACTCTTGAAGGCTGATGGGGCTGGGAGCCTGGATTCCTGGTTCTGTCCTGATTGGAAAAGGGGGCTGAGATCCAGACACTTGGGTTCTGAAAGAGGGGGTATTAAGGGACTAAACTCCTGGGTTTTGAGGGGTGAGAATGGATGGGCCAGGGTCCTGACCTCCTGTGCTTCCTGATGCCTCTGGGTTGAACTCTCACACTGGTCCATGCGCTCCTGGTGCAAGAACCGGCAGCCTTCAGGTACCAACAGGGCCTCACTCACGAATTCACCCGCTGGGGAATGGGGAAACCAGAGTGAGACCCTTCCACAGCCACTAACCTCACCCTCCTCAGAATCCAGATTTTTTAATTTCAAAGGATTCTCTGCACCACTCAGGACCCAGGCATCTAATTCCCTAATGTGAGCCTTTAGACCAGGGCCCAGAATCTCTCCACCTCAGGGAACCCCACCCTCATTTCCCTCCCCCAGCCTATGACTCACGCAGGCAGCGGAAAGGCACAACCTGATGGTGAGAGTGGGCACAGCGGCCACCCCGGGCACCCCCGCACCAGCGCTCCATGGGGATGGCCTGTGTTGCCCGTTCCACACGTGCAATCTGCAGCTCCGGGTACATCTGGGGACACCAGGTGGAGCGATCAACCCACTGCCCCGCCCCTACCAGCCGCGCTTCTCTGTTGGCCATGTCCTTTTTCAAGGCTCCAGTGTTCATAAGGAATTCTCCTCTTCAGGTCCTGCTTCTCCACAGAACCGGTCTTAGAAATCTAAGACTAGTATGACCACTGGCCACACCCCCTAGTAACTCTCCCTTAAAAGCCCCACCTTCCTTAGGCCCCTCCCCTTTGTCTGGCCAGTTTCTTTACAAAGGTCCCTCCATTATGCCCATAAACTCAATTCTGCCAAGCCCACCGCTCTTCTAGTCACCTCGGCCCCCTTCCCCAATCAGGTTCATTTCTCCGTGGATTCTACCAACTTCTAAGCCTCGCCTCTTTCCCTGTTTTGCCTCTCAGTAAGTGCCCCTTCCCTTCCTTTTCATAGCCACACCTCCTAGCTTTCCACTCTCATTGGGCTCTGCTTCCCTTCCGACCACGACCCCAGCTTCCCAGCCTTCTTAGACCCCTGGTTTCCCGACCTTTCGAAAGTCTAGCTTCCCTAGGGCAACTACCCCACATATTGGAGTAGCTTTCACGACCCTCTCAGTAGGTCCCGCCCACCTGTCTGCAGTACTCGAGCACCCGTTGATGGTCCGGGAGACAGCGTCGCGAGCGCTGAGCGTCTGGTTCCCAGCGGCCAGTGCGCAGGTCCCGATGAAGGGTTAGGTGCCCGCATAGTCCAGCCACCTGTGCCGATCCGGGGGCCTGCGTGTGTGGGCGAAAGGGTCAGTGGGGGCCCGAGGAACGTTGGTAGGCTGATCCCTTGGTGCTATGCTCCCTAGGACCCAGATGTTAAAACCTCAGATTTAGCCCCCTCCCCCAAGCACAGCGCACCCTCCTCGGTAGAGGTACGGTTTCCTGGGATACAGCTCCTACTGGACTGGGTGCCCCAGCTCCCCTGTTGCTATAACGACTCGAGTCCCCCAGGATTCTCACAGCCTTTTTGTGGAGGAGAGAAGCTCCACCTGCACCCTGGCGCAGCCGCACTTGAGCCGGAAGGGGTTAAACCTGAATCGCTCGGGAGGCGATCTGAACCTTAGGGTTCTAGCCCCTCCTCCCTCCATCTCCAGCTTTGGCTCCCATTCTTGGGTGCAAAGATGACAGACGTGGCCTGGCTTCAGGGCCCTGCAGACCTGGACGCTAAGGCCCTTGAGGGCAGGAGAGCTACCTCCCGAGTCAAGGGAGCGGTGGCTAGAAGCCTAGACTCCTGGGTCATAGGAGGCTGCGGGGCCCTCATATGGGTTCAGAGGATGCAAAGGGACCCCTGTTCTTGGATCTAAATGTCTTACTGCTTAGTGGGTCCTATGTTCAGGTGGGAAGGGGCTAGGGCTAAGTCCCTTAGGTCAAGAGGGTTTGAGGGAGGCAGGAGCAGGCTGGGACGACACATGATGGCAAGCTGGGGCCTAGACTCTTGGGTTCGTGAATGCCTCGTTCTGTTAGGGGAGCCTGGGAGCTGGCCGCCTGGATGAAAAGACTGCGCTTTCATCTCTGGACATGTCTGCATCAGGGTCCGGAGGCCGGGTCCCGCCCTTTCCCCCCCATCCCCAAGGACCTGGCCGGGCCTCACCTCGGCAGCGCCTTGGCTCCCACCGGCCAGGCTCCCGACGGCGAGCTGCGCGCGCAGAATCAGCAGCAATAGTGGCAGCAACAGCAGCAGCGGCGGCAGGCCCCGGCGGCGACCCAGACTTCGAGTGGCGGGGCCTGCGCGCCCCATGTCTGGGTTCTCGCGCCCTCACGTCCCCTACACTCCCGCCCTGCCCTGCCCTGCCCCAGCGGTGACAGAAGCTCCCAGCGCCACCACCACCGCCGCCTCCCACAGTCCCGGGGCTGCGCTGGCGCCGCCAGCCCCGCCCCACGCCGGCCCCGCCTTCCCGGCCAGGACAATAGCTTGGCAGCTCAGCGCTCGGTCTAGCAGCTCCGGAGCTCCCCCGTGGGAGATAGCATCAAGCCCCGCCCTCCTAAGATTCCAGGTATCCCACCCCAAGCAAGGACCTGTCCAGGAGTGTAGATCACGGGCTCCTCGGTTATGGATTTTGTGTCCTACCCTCGGGCCCAGACAACTCATAGATCTGCTTCCCTCTCTTCCAGGGATTGTCAGCATTGGAGAACCACCCCCCCACTCTGCCAGAACAAATTCTTCTCTTGAGTTGCCAAGAATACAGGCCTCCGAAATTTCCCCAATCAAGAAGAAAGCAGTTGCGACCCAGTCTTCTTCCTCAGATCCAGAAAGTCTGGGCCCAGACTCTCAAGACCAGAGACAAAGCTCCTAGCCCTTTCCGCCTAAGACCCTGAGTCCCAGGCCTGCTGTTCTGCTTCCCAAAGGTCTCGGGTGTCTGGAACTTTAATTCCTAGCTCAAGGATCCATGATTCAAAGTGCCCAGCCTCTCCTCCACTTTTCTTTAAAAATTTTTTAAAAATTATTGATTTTTAGAGAGCGAGGAGGAGGAGAGAAACATTGATTTGCTGTTCCACTTATGTGTGCATTCATTGGTTGATTCCTGTATGTGCCCTGACTGTGGATCACACCCACAACCTTGGAGTTTCCAGACAACACTCTTAACCCCAGAACTACCCATTAGGGATCCCAGGCCTCCCTCTCTCTTTTTTTAACATTTAATTTTTATTGTGTTTTCCACGACCATTTATCCTCCTTAGACCCTGTTCCACCTCTAACCACCCTCTCCCTCCCAGACCCCTTTTTAAATGATGACCCAAGTCAGGTGCCCAGGACCTCTGAACAAGGGTCTAGACCTCCATCTTTGCTCCAAGGACCAGGGAATTTCTATTTCCTCACCCCATCCTCTCTCTGTCATGTGTGTGCATCTATGCATGTATGTTTGTGTCATGTCCCCACGTATCAAAATAGCCTGGAGTGCTAAATGGATAACTAGGGGCTTGGGGGAGCCCCTGGTTTTGCTCCTACAGCCACTTCATAGCCTAGGGTAGAGGAAGGGCCTTGGGGGAGGCTTGATGGATCCCTTTCTCTTTTTTTTTTTAAGATTTTATTTATCTTTAGAGGAGAAGGGAAGGAGAGAGGGAGGGAAATATCAAGGTGTGGTTGCCTCTCGTGCGTCCCCTGCTAGGAACTAGCCGGCAACCCAGGCATATGCCCTGACTGGGAATCGAACCATGATCCTTTGGTTCTTGGGCCCGTTGGATCCCTTTCTTGACAGAGGGTAATAATGCCAAGGGAATCCTGAACACAAATTTTAATTTTTAAAACTAAACATATTTTCTTATCCCCAGATTCCATTCCTACCCCCTCCAGTGACAGATATTACCCTGTCCTTACTCCTTGGACCCAATTCTTCCAAGGCCTTTAAGGAATGTGGAAGGAATCAAGATGGTTTCTATCTTGGGTTCCCGAGGAGTGAACTGCTATCTTGGCTTCACTTCCATTGGCCAAGCAAAGTGCACATCAGGGAAAGCCAGGACAGGGCCTGGTCTGGCTTCCATCTTAATCTGCCCTATGTTACCTTTTTTCTTATGCAAATATCTTCTTTCAGTGTCTGCCTGCCAACTTCCATATCTGCCTCTAAATCCCATCATACCCTGTCTCTATTCCTCTTTTTAAAAAAAAATTTATTTAGTTATTTTTCAAGTACAGTTTTTTGTCTATTTCTCCCATCCCAGCCTCCCCCCGCCCCGTGCTCCCCACCTCCCTCCCATTTTCACCCCCCTTAGTTCTCATCCCTGTGTCCTTCCTATTTGTTCTTCCAAATCCCTCCCCTTTTTTCCCCTTAAATTCCCTTCCCTCTCCCCTCTGGTCACTGTCCCCTTGTTCTCTATTTCAGTGTCTTTGTTTTTTTCTGCTTGCTTGTTTGTTTTGTTGTTTAGCTTCCTGTTAAAGGTGAGATAATATGGTATTTGTCTTTCAACACCTGGCCTATTTCACTCAGCATAATGCTTTTCAGTTCCATCCATGTTGTTGCAAAGGGTAGGAGCTCCTTCTTTCTCTCTGCTGCATAGAATTCCATTGTGTATATGTATCACAATTTTTCAATCCATTCATTTACTGATGGGCACCTAGGTTGCTTCCAACTCTTGGCTATTGTAAATTGTGCCGCTATGAACATTGTGGTGCATAGGTTCTTTGAAATTGATGTTTTAGGATTCTTAGGATATAATCCTAGCAGTGGAATTGCTGGGTCAAAAGGCAGGTCGATTTTTATTTTTCTGAGAACATTTCATACTGTTTTCCATAATGGTTGTACCAGTCTGCAATCCCACCAACAGTGAACTAAGGACCCCTTTTCCCCACAACCTCTCCAGCATTTGTTGTTTGTTGCTTCTATTCCTCTTTAAAGGGGCCATTTGGCATCTTGAATCTCTTTTACACAGGGGACTAGATGGACATAGTGGCCATCTTGCCCCATTTGGGGCATCCCCTTTGGCTGAGCAAACTGTCATCAATGACCCAGGCAATAGTAATGATCTTCCCTCCCCTCAATGTTTAGTTCTGGAGGAGTAAGGTCACTAATTTGTTCTGGTTCTTCAGAAATCAGGACAATTAATTATGGCAAGTTGAATATCCCAAAATTTCAATTGGAGAGATGTTACACATGAGTCTGGAGACGTAAGTGGCTAGGTGTGGGGAAGGCAGCATATGGGAAAGGAGGAGACCCGGGAGCCAGATCTGGGGGTCCAAAGGATGTGGGTTTGATGTAGCTGGTAAAAGCTTGAGAATGGGGTGTGGTGAGATAACCTGCCTGGGCTCTATACAGTCTGCAGGGGGGAGGCATGTCCAGGTGTGAACTGAAGTCATAGAAAGGAGGTGTACCCAAAGGTCCAAGGGGGGAGGGTGGTGGCAGGAAGAGGCCTCCTCCAGGGGCTTTACCAAGGCTCAGGCTCACACTGACTCTTTGGACCTTGTAGTAACTGTTGGTTGGGTCCTGGAGGGAAAAATGAGGTCTGTGAATATGCGAGGGTATAAAGGGGTGAAGGCCCCTGATGGAGATCAAGCCAGACCTAGGGAAAGGCAAAAGACAGAAACAGGAGCAGACAGAGACAAAGAGACAGATATGTAGACTGGTAGGAAGACAAAGGCAGAAAAATAGTGATAGAAGACAAAGGGACAGAAGGAAATGGGCAGAAAAAGGCAGAGACAGGGATATAGCCCTTCCAAGAGGTGGTGGTGTGGAAGGAGATGCAGAAGGAGCAAGAGAGAGATTAAGGCCAAGATATGTACTCATACATCTGCCCAAGAGCCCCATGGCTTTGATTTTGTATCATGCCCTATGTTGCTGCTGGACAGAACTGGACTTGTCCTCATGGAGATACCAGTCCAACGGGGAAATGGCAGATTACCAGACAGAACCCAGAGGGGTTAGGGCTGTATTGGGGGAAGTACAGGCAGAGTAGCTGGGACTATGATAATGGGGCTCTATGGGGAAGCACAGGCAAGATTAATGTGGCTTTGATGGGGGCAGTATCAGCACAGTGATGGGGCTGTGATGGAGAAGCCCAGATTAGAGTGTTTCTGGCTGTGACAGGTGAAACATGGACAGAATGATCAGGGATGTGAGGAGGGAAGCATGGGTTTTCTAGAACAAGAAATATCTGAGCTAAGACAAGAGGAATTGACGGAGAGAATTAGGTAGGTATGGGAAGGAAGGTAGCAGTGTTTCAAGCCAAGAAAATAGAATAGTGTGTTCTAGGTACAGCAGAGAGAGAGAAGGGACCCTAAAGGTGGGGCAGGACTGCAGAGATGTAAGGGTCCTGGGGGAGGTAACCAGGGGGAGGCATCCAGGAGGCCGAAAACATGACTATGATGGGGAAAGCACAGGAAAAGTGAACCCTGATCTGGGGCTCAAGATGGAGGCCAAGGCTAGAACAGATATATGGGCAGAGTCAGCGAATATGCAAACTGAGGCTGTGAAGGAAGGTGAAACAATACAGGAGGCAGGAGGAAGAAAGCAGAGGGGGCTCTGTCCCTGCTCTTCAGCTAAAAGAGTTAAAAAGGAAAGGACAGATGCATGGAGAGAATTGTAGGCACAGAGAAGGGAGCCCTGCCCCTTTCAATACTCACCTTGGTCTCCAAAGCCCCCTCTTCATCCAGAACCAGGTCAGTGTGGTCTGTGTGCATGATGGGGCCCTGGGGAAGGGTGCTTAGTGAGATGGGGGTGCTCAAAGAATCCTGCCCTAGTGCCTGATCCCAGGGACCCTCAACTGGAAAGTAGAGGCCAAGCAGGAGGGAGCTAGGGTTTAGACTCAGGGAAAGAAAGGGCCCTGGGGACATATTAGGTCTAGAGAATAAGTTGGTCAGGGGCATATTTGGATTTAGGGGGCTTTTGGGTCTGGGTTCAATGTTGGGAATAGGGCCCATCTTGAGTTTAGGTGCCAGATTTGGGACTGGGTTACTATTTGGGTCTAGAGGCATGGTTCGGTCCGGGGACCCCAGATTCTTACCTGGTCCTCACTGCTGCCTGTCCCCTCTTCCTCAGGGCCCTGCAAACTGGAACCATGGCTGCTGCCTGGGATTTGCACCAGGTTCTTTTGCTTGAAGAAAGAGGCTGAGGCCAAGGACAGTGAGTGGGGGTGGAGGGAAAGAGGCAGAGGTAAGTGAAGGGGCCGGGTCACAGTTTGTGGAGACCAATGAGCAGGAAAGAGAGGACTGGGGGGATCAGGTTAGGAGACCAGAAACCAATGAGAGCCCTGGTCTAGGAGGGCAAGAAGTGTGACCTTGAGGAAGTAGAGTTAGGGCTTTGGGGAGGAACCAGGGCCTGAACATGAGTCAAGCTCCAACAGGGGCTAGAGAGGCAGTACTGGTGCCAGGTCCCAAGGCCAGGCCTGTCAGTGAGCAGGGTGAGGGCGTGTGTGTGTGTGTGTGTGTATGGTGGGTGGTGCTGGGATAGGGCTTGGGTACTGACCCTTGCCTTGGCACCAGCAGCAGAGGGCCACACCAGTGATGACCATAAGGAGAGTCATGGCCAAGGAGGCCACTCCAGTCACAATCTGCATAGTAGGCAGTGGCAAGTCTGCAAGGAGAAGAGGGGATGATTTGAGGAGGCTGAACAGAAGACCAGGGAGGAACTGGGGAATGGGGGACTCAGGGCTTGAGTTGGGGTCTCTGGATTCAAAAAGTCTTCAAGTTTGGGGGTATCCAAGGTTTGTAATACCCAAACTTGGGGTCTCTGGGCTAAAGGGCTCATAAAATTGGGGTTTCACAGTAAACTCTTTGGCTTTAGGGAGTCTTAGGATTTGAAGGGTTTTAACATTCCCTTCTTTGGGGCACCCGAATGTGAGATATCTCAGTTTAGCATTCTATATTTGAGGGAACTATTTTGGGGGAGGTTTCCGGATTCAAGGGATTCATAGTTTTGAGGCTCATAAGGTTTGGGGGTCTCTGAATTTGGAGGGCATTTTTTTGCAGACTGTGGCATTTTAGGGGTTTGAAGTCCTCAAATTTTGGGAGGTCTTCAGTCTCTGGGTCTTACCTCTACGGCTCAGGGTGACCAGGGTACTTCCCTCACCCAACCGGTTATGGGCACTGCAGTTGAAGCCCTTGCTAAAGTCAGACTCCTGAGTTCCCGAAATGTGTAGCACAGAGATCAGGCCTGGACCCTGTCCAACTCGGCCCTCTGGGGCTGGAAACGTCTCCACCAGGAACCGACCCTGTGACCCGTTCTCCAGGAAGCCCTCATCCCAAGACCAAACCTTGGGGTACAAAAGAAGGAGGTCAGAGGAGACTGGGGATGGAGAGAGAGGAGCAGAGTTTCTGGAAAGTCAGAGGTAGTTACACAGTTTTGGGAGTCTGGCTGGGAGATCAGGGACCACGGCTGGTTGGGTCATGAAAGCAGGGATGTTTTCTTACCACGGCTTCTGGGGCAGGGGAGGCGAAGACTAGACACCGGAGGCGAGCAGAACCCCTCAGGAAGGCTGGTGCTGAGTGCAAGGCGGTCACTATAGGGGGAGCTGGTTTGGAGATTGTGGACCAATCAGAAGAGAGGGCCATCCTCCCACTCAAAGGCGACTGCTCACTAACCCCAACCAACCAGGCCAGGCCCCTCACAAACTCGGATCCCCGATCCCCAGAGGCTCGCTTCACTAGGTCCCACTAGTACCCCCAGGCCCAACCTCCACCCACTCCATTAGACTTAGCTCCCTTTGCCCATCCTTGCCCCGGGACCTGCCTAGTCCTCTAGGAAGCACTGCTTTCTCACCGTTCACAGTCAGCCTAGCCTCTGCAACGCCGCCCCCTAGACCTGAGAGCCCTGGCTCAGCCCTGCACACGTAGTCGCCTGCATCCTCCAGCCCCACCGAAGGAATACGTAGTGTGGGCCCGGAGCCCAGTACCTAGGATATGAAGGGGCGTCAGGGGCAGAAACTTGTGAGAAAGCCCCATCCACTGCCTGCCACCATCACTAGCCCCCGATATGATGTTACCTGTGTGCCCCCACGGTGGGTCCAGGTTACCCGTGGGAGCGGGTTCCCACGCCAAGAACAGCTAAACAAAGCATCTTCCCCCAGGTCTACAGACGTGGACTCCGGCTTTGCCAGCAGAATAGGCCCAACTGGAGGAAAGGGTCACATGCCTGGGTGGGGCTGCAACTTCTGACCTGGGATCAGCCACTCAGAAATGGCACCCTCAAGGACCCAAGTCTAGGCCCCCATTCCACAATGCCCTCCCTCCACTATGGCATAAACTCTTCCTACATCCTATGCCCTCCCCACCTCCTTCCTCAGCCCATGGCAGCCACTCCCCAGTCTAGCCCTCAGCCCTTTTCAGCAGGTCCTACTGCCCACATCCACGACACGCCCAGGCTCACACTGTACATCCAGTGCGGTGCTGCGGTTGGCGCTACCCACAGTGTTGCTGACTTCACATGACACTGGCACAGTTAGGAATGAAGCATCTGCCACCACCTCCAACATTGGCCCTTGGGCCCCCAGCACTGGGGAACCCCCCTTTGCCCACCTGTGGAGGTGGTGGGGCTGTTAGTGCTATCTCTGCTCCCCAGGCACACCTATTCATGTCCCAGCCCCAGCCCCTCCCCAGCACAAAGTAATCTTCATCCTCACCGATAGCCCGTGACAGGAGGCTGAGCCCTGGCCTGGCATAGGAAAGTAACCTTCTCTCCCTCCTGCACAGTCTGTGGTTCTGCAGACAGAGTCACCACTGGGGGATCTGTGGAGGTGGGTCAATAATCAGCGGTGGTCCAGGACCCGGAACATCTCCATTGATGACCTGGGAGTCAAATTCCCAGCCTCTCCACCCTAGGATCGTGGATCCCCAGTTTCCTCTTCCCTTTGAGCTGGGAGTCCAGGCAGGTCTCCAGTTTCATATTCCCTCAGAACCCAGAGGTCCACAGCTCACTCCTCCCTCATACCCTGAAGTTGAGATCCCAGCCCACTATTTCATTAAGGACCTCAGGCTCAGGGCCCAGTGTCCAACTACACTTACATTGCAGGCTCAGTGTGATAGCTGTGTCCTTTCCTGCAGGCAGGGCCTGGCTTCGGGCCCGGCAGACCAAGGTGGCTCCTTCATCATGGCTGGAAGGGGTCAAGGATAAGATGCTCTCCACTGACCCAGTTGTCCCTTCCTTCAGTAGGGTCTAGAGGTTATGAATAATAACGATGATTACATCTACCTCTTATATAGTGCTTACTGTATGTCAGGCTCTTTTCTAGGTAATTAGAAGCATTGCTTTGTTCAATACAATTACCCTATGAGGTGCATACTGCTATCTTTATTTTTGTTTTTTATTTTATTTATTTATGTTTAGAGAGAGGGGAAAAAAGGGAGAGAAACACCAATGTGTGGTTGCCTGTCACACGCCCCCTACCGGGGACCTGGCTGGTAACCCAGGCATGTGCCCTGACTGGGACTGGAAAAGGCAACCCCTTTGCTTCGCAGTCTGGTGCTCAATCCACTGAGCCACACCAGCCAGGGCTAAGGTGCATACTGCTATTATCCTCACTGTACAGATAAGAAAACTAATCAACTAATGAGTGACTGAGCCAGGTAATCTGGACCTAGAGTCGTCACCCTTAATTATACACCAAGGGTCCCAACTTTGAACCCCTGCCCTCCCATGCCCTTTTCTCCTCTGGATGAGCCAGTGGTCTGAGCGAATCCCCACATTTCCCTGAATGGGCAAGGGCTGGCACAGGGGCTTGCATCTGACCTGTTTGAAGGTGGCCCCATCCAGCTGGACCCCATCTCGAAACCACAGCAGCTCAGGGGTGGGGTGGGCATCCCCATGGCTCCGACAGGTCAGATTTGCAGGAACCCCAGCAACCAGAGACACGGAGGGGCCTCCCAACACATGAGGGGCTTCTGGGGGCACTGTGGGTAGATCTGGGGTCAGAGCTGAATCCTGGGCCAGAGACCCTGATCGTCCCAGCTCTAGCCAACCACTCCTATGTGCTCCATGGACTCTGATAATCCCAGCTAGGACTGGCTGTCCTTCTGGGCACTCCTAGGGAGAAGAGTGGGCTGGATCCTCACCCAGCACATGCAGTTGGGCTGGTCGAGAGCGGAGGCCTGCCTGTGTCGCCTGACATTCATATGATGCTTGATCCTCTAGCTCCACAGGCCTAATGTGGAGGTCGTGCTGGCCGCTGGCTGCATTCCCTGATATCCAGTACCTAGACCACCCTGGCATGAAGGAAGAGGCAGTCACACCATGGTTCTGAATCACACCAGAAGTGGGTGCTGGGACAGGGATGGGGACATAAGCCTCTCCCAATCCAGAGTCACTTAAATTGGGGGGTGATAAATTTAGAAAAAAGCCAGAAAACAATCACCACAAGAGTCAGATTAGATGCTACCCCTGGGGAAAGAGGGAATGAGAATAATAGGGGGAAGGAATAAGAAGGGCTTCTGGGCCTAGGTGGTGGTTACTTGGGTTTATGGTTATTGGGCAGATCTTCCATTTATGTTTTATGTGCTTTTCTGCATTTTTGTAATATTTTACAATAAAAAAAGATCTTCAAACCCTATGGGTCACCCTCAAAGTATAAACTAAAAATTCAGGACACCCAAATGTTTACCTGAGACCATTAATTTCCCAAACCTGAAAATGTCAAAATAGAAGCTTCAATTATAGCCTAAATCCAGCATCTCCACCCTGGAGCCAAGAGCCAGCCCCTTCCTGAATGGAGAGAACAGTCTCCATTCCCTTGTCCCTCTCACCTGGCAGGTCCCTTTCACCCCCTAGAGCCAGCCCATCCTTAGTCCATTGAACCAGCCCCGAGTATGTGCCCAGGACACAGGGCAACCGGGCCTCATCCCCTAGCAGTACCACCAAGTCCTCTGGCTGTTGCAGGAAGTGGGGCGACAGGCCTAGGAGAATGAGAGGGGGGAACAAAGCTGAGTTTAACGTACTCAAGAGCTCCCTCATTCAGAACCCAGGACTTCAGTCCCCAAACTCTGCTACCCTCAGACCCAGAAGCCCAGGCTCCCAGATTTCTCCTCCCTCAGACCCAGAAGACCGACCGAGTCCTCAGCCCAATTCACCCCACTGAAGCAGCAACTAGCAAACAATCCTCTCCCATTATTTACCGTCTCTCCCGCCCCTCGCGGTACCTGCACGCCCTCTGAAGCAGAAGAAGAGGACGAAGAGGGCGGGAACCAGCATCCTGACTGTGTGTCCCCCAAGATCCAGTTGACTTGCTGTCGCACTGACTTCCCCGCCAACTGCTTCCTCGAAAGCACACCTCCAGCCACTCCGGCCTGGAAACCCCTTCGCAACCGACTCTTCACCCCAAGCTAGGACCTCCCCTCTGTCCCTGGCCTGGAGTTCCTAAGTCTGCTCGGCCGCTGGCTCGAATTCTGAAGCGCCGGCGAGGTCCGTGCGCTCAGTCTCTGAGAGACTAGGAGGGTCGGATCCCATTCGCCCCGCCCCGGCGCTCCTTGTGCCCCCGCGACCCGCCCCCTTTACAGGAAGAAAGCCCCAGGGTCGAGGCCAAAACGAATCCGAGAAAGTAGGGCGGAGTTCTCCCCTTGGGCTGGAGCCCCAGCCCAACTGGGATCTGGGAGCCGGAACACCTGGATCGAAGGAAGGGGTCTAGGCTGGGTTGGATACCTGCACCCTGCCAGGGTTGCGGGGCTACGGGGTTGAAAAGGAGGGAGTGGAAGAAACTTGCTCAGCCCAAGTCCTGGAGGGACCGCGCTGAGTGGAAACCTAGCTATAAATGGGAACCCCTGGGGCCTTGCTAGTTTCCGCGCCTGGGAGAGGCGGGGCCTGGGGCTCCTCAGAGCCTGGGGGTCAGGAAGAGGGCGCCGGGGTGCCTGGGTTGGGGCAGCTGGGACCCCCAACAGGAGGGTTCTGCCCTTCCCTCTCAAAACACCTCCTCAACATATCCCCCTGCATTCCTAGTTACAGCAGCAAACCATAGCAAGTCCTAAGATCCAGGAATCCAGGCCCCCCACCCCCTCCTTTCCCTAGACCCCGCAGTAAAAGCTCAGTCCCTCGCCCCACTTGGCTGTGGTTGCCGGGCGACAGCTGGGAGGCGGCGGTGCCGGGGCTGGTCAGGCCGGGGGTCTGGGAACCTCGCAGCTTGTCCTGACTGCTACATGCGGCCCAGCTGAGGCGTTCCCACGCTACATGCCCGCGGATACCCTGTGCAGCTGCTCCGGCAGGTGGGCAGGTCCTCGAGCAGGCTGAGGGGCGACTGTGGGTCTGACATACCTGAGCCCTCTGGGACTGGGATCCTCACTCAGGTTTCCTATTGTTCCTGAAAGCAGATTCTTGCGTTCCTCCCTAAGTGGCAGCGACTTGGACTTCCAGGATTCTAAGACTAGGGATTCACATCTCTGCTGACTGAGAAGCTCCGAATTTCCGAGGACCTGGGGGCTCAACTAGGTTCTCTGCCTGCAGCAGGATGCAGTTGGGAGAGTTTGACAGGGGGGTCAGAAGATCTGGTCTTAAGTCTTAGAGTCAGTGGATTTAAGCACCAATCTCTCTTTCAACCCCCCACACAGGCCCAGAAGGAGGATTTGAAAATCAACAGTGAACATCTGCCCTTAGTTTGACGGGAGGGCGGGGGGTGGGGGGGGGAGAAGCGGCTGGGGAGGAGGTAATGGAGACCTGAATTCTTGGGAATTTTGGAAGAAGGGGCTGCAGGCCTGGCCTCCTGAGTCTGAGAGGGGTGGGTCCTTGTCTGCCTAGAATTCATGGCCTGGGTACCTGAACTCCTGGCTTCTCTTTTGTGGATCCAACACCTGGATTTTGAAATAAGGTGAGCTTGGAGCCAGCACTCCCGAGGCTTGGGGAGGAAGTCAGGTAGTAAGACTCTTTTTCTGGACACCTGATATCACTTTCCTTTCCTGGCTCTTTGGGGCCACAGGCATGGAAAGAAGAGAGCCTGAAGTCCCAGGAGCATCCAGAGAAGGAAAACAACTAAAGTGGAAGATGGAGTGCAAGGAGTCAATAATGGGAGAGAAGAAGAAAGATTAGAGGGAGCATCAGAGATGGAGCTGTCGGGGCTCAGGCCAGATGCCTCATTTTGTTCCTGGAGGAGGACCAGAAAGAGCGTCATGGCAGAGGAGATCAATTCCTGCAGGAGATAAGCAGGCAGAAAAAGCTTATCCTATGTGAGTGTGTATGAACACACTGGGGTGGGGAGGGCAGGTCAACCAGCATATGGTTATAAAATCCAAAGATGCAACAATCAGGAGAAATAAAGGAAAGAGATGTAGTCAAAGGGAACTGAGAACAAATACTTATTGGGCTCCTGGTGTGTGAGAGAGAGCATGGGATGGGGTAGGAAGACAGAGATGAGAATGAGACAAAAAGACAGAAAAACAGAAATGTATCTATATATCTATATAGAGGAGTGTGTGTGTGTCTATGTGTGTGTGTATGGAGAGAGAGAGGCAATGACATAGTTAAAGGTTGACTGAGATATAACCACCTAATGAGAGAGGAAGAGAGAAAGGCACTGAGACTGAGAGGAGAGACTCAAAAAGATGCAGAAAAATAAAAGGATAAATCAAGGTATCCACCGGGAGAGAGATAGACAAAGAGACAGGGAGAGATGGGGAATTTTTGTGAATGAGAACTCACAAGACCTTTGACAAGGGGTTCCTACCTGGGCTCATTGTTATACCCACACTTAGTGCTCATGGTCTTAGACTCTATCTTACACTTCCACCCACTCTGATTGCTCTGTCCCCTGCACACTTACACCCTACTCACTTACGTACATTCATACACTCTGCACATACTTTCACAGATCACAATTCACTCTCACCTTCTCCACACTCACACTCATACTCACTCACATGCACTTTACACACACATGCACAAAGACATCTCCCAGTCTCTCATGCACATTCTTGCACACTCCCCAGCAGACATCTCTGATGTCATTTGGGAGGTAATGCATACTCAAGGCAGGAAAGGGCTTACCAAGTTTGTATACCAGGGCAGGGAAGATCTGGGGAGTCCTAGCACCATGTCAGGCCCAGCTCTCTCCTCCTCATGCTGAGCTGGGACTGCCTGGGTCTGACCTGAACCTCCTCATCCTGGCCTAAGCCAGGCCCTTGGGGTCACAGGGGCTGGGAGGCACCAAAGAGTATGCCTGGCATGTGCTGACAGGGGATTTTATGTTCCGGCTGGGCCTGGAGGAGCCTCCTGGACAGATGCCTGCAGCTGGAGATTCTAGAGGCAGACTAGGGAGGTAGTAGTGGGAGGACAAGATCAAACTAGGTCTCAGAATGAGACTCAACTCTGCCACTGACTTCACTGACCTCATTGCCTCTCCTTGGTTCATGGGGCCTGATAGACTCTGAGGGGGCTGTGAGTGGTGAGAGGAAAGCAGGGGTTAGGGTGGCAGGAGAGAAGAAAGACAAATAGAGACAAATAGAGACTTATGGGAGAGAGAAACTCAGAGAAAGTTTCTGCCTTAGGGAGAAAGAGATAAAAAGACAGGAGGAGGGAGAGTGGAAGGAATTAGGGCAGGGAGGGAGAAAGAAAGACAGAAGGGGAAAGAGAGAGGGAAACACAGACTCATGGGAGGAGAAAAAATCAGAGAAAGAAAAAGAGATAGATGGCAAAAGAGAGACAAAGAAAAAAGCAAGAGACAGAGACATAGGGAGAAGGACCCCCATAAAGAGAAAGCCACAAGCAGATGCAGGAGGCAAACAGTGGGTGTTGTAGAAGCCAGAGACAGACGACATGGAATGGCCCTGAGGATCCTCGTTCGGGCTCCCCTGCTCTTCATGGGGCTGCTGACCACAGGTGAGTGGGATCGTGGCTTTGTGACCTAGTGTAAAGAGGCCCTCATTTCCCACTCACATTCTCCAGACAGACCCTCTGTCCTCTCCTGCTGACTTTTCTGTATCCCCAGGCCTGGCCCAGTTGCAGATTCCTGCCTCAACCTCCAGAGGTTTCTGGGCTTTGCCTGAAAACACGACAGTAGTGGAGGGGGCTGCTGCTGAGCTTCTGTGTGGGGTCAGTGCCCCTGGCAGTGCAGTGCAATGGGCCAAAGATGGACTACTCCTAGGCCCTGATCCTAGGATCCCTGGCTTCCCACGGTACCATCTGGTAGGGGACCCTACTAGAGGTAAGGTGTCAGATCCAGAGACCCTGAGCCACCAGGAGAAGCTGACAGTGGCCCTGACCTTGAGTCCTATCTGTAGGTGAATTCCACCTGCATATTGAAGCATGTGACCTCAGTGACGATGCAGAGTATGAGTGCCAGGTCAGCCGTTCAGAGACAGGGATGGAGCTCGTGTCCCCCAGAGTTATCCTCTCCATTCTGGGTATGGGTCTATACTTCTAGCCCTCTCCTACCTACCACAGGACCTAGGAATCCAAGCTACTAGCCTCTCCTTCCTAAGATCCAGGGTGCAGAACTCATTTCATAAGCAATGAAATCCTCATATCCTTGTTGGGAGTGACCGCTTACTCCAAACCCTTTCTCACCAGTGCCCCCCAAGATGCTTCAGATGACCCCTGAGGCAGGGACCACAGTCACATGGGTAGCTGGGCAGAAGTACGAGGTCAGCTGTGTATCTGGGGATGCAAAGCCAGCACCTGACATCACCTTCCTTCAGAGTGAGTGTGGATGAACTGCTGGGAGCAGTGTGAGACCCCTGGAGTTGGTAGGAGGGTATCCTTTCCCCATGCCCTCCTAGGAGCCTCAGAAAATATGACATTTCTGAGATGAAGACGCAGGCTTGGGGAGATGTTGAGGCCAGCATGGGATCTGGTGGATGGCGGAGCATCCAGGGCAATGCACCAAAGAGATCACAGAAGCACTGGTCTGGGACTCAGTCATGTGGGCTGAGGCTCCAGAAAGAGATGTGATGTTATCAGTGCAAAAATGAGACACTGAGCAATGAGTGTAGGCGATATACCTAGCAAGGATAGGAGGGGAGGCGAGAAGTCCAGGAACTGGCTCTGAGTGCTCTGGGATTCAGGGAAACCTGAATGTGTGGAGGGAACAGAGCTAGTATTTACCTTACAGAGCCAGAAGGGAGGGGGCAGTATATCCATCCCGATGACTTCTAGGCTGTGATTCCCAGGTTCTACCTTGGGGAGAACCTGGCATCCCTGCTTTCCTCTTGTTACCCCAAGGTGGACAAATACTTTCTGACGTTACTGCTAATGTGAATGAGGGATCCCAGGAGAAACTCTTCACCACAGAGTCCACAGCAAGGTATGGGAGTTGGGGTGCCCTAACTTTAGCCTGACCCCAAAATTTCTTCATGAAAATCCCACATTCAAGGGAGTCAAACATGAAACTTGGGTTAGGTATGAATATCAGGGTCCCTGACTTCACTCTGACATTGTCTTCACCCTGACACTCCAAAAGTTCCTCGTGGGAACCCCAGTTCCAGAGTATCAAGTATGAAGATTTTGGCTGTGCATGGTGCTCTGGGACCACAATTCTCATTCCTAATCCCCCAAATCCTTTCCATGGAACTCCAGATCCTAGAAGAAATCAGCATGGAGACTTAGACCAGGTGTGGGGACTTCTTCTCCCTAACTCTCCAAATTTCTGATAATAACTCTGACTCTAGAACCCCAACTTCCCACCCAGAGTGACGCCACAGAGCTCGGATAATGGGCAGTTACTGGTCTGTGAGGGGTCCAGCCCAGCTTTGGACACCCCTATCAAGGTCTCAGTCACCATGAATGTTCTGTGTAAGTGGGAAACTGAGTGAGCTGTGGGAACTTGGGACAGGGATGGGAGGAATTGGGAGTCCTGGGGGTGCACAGGGATTATGAATGGTTCTGGTTCTCAAAGAGAAACATTAAGGTTCAGAGGCATACTGTAGAGCCTGGAAAGAACGGATGGGCTCCCCAGGCCCACTGAGGGACTGCTGCTCTTCAGTTCCCCCAGGCCCCCCTGTGATTGAGTGGCCAGGCCTGGACGAGGGACACGTGCGGGCAGGGCAGAGCTTGGAGCTGCAGTGCATGGCCCGAGGAGGAAATCCACCAGCCACACTGCAGTGGCTGAAGGTGAAGACAGATGCATACGTGAGGGTGGGGAGAGGGGTGGGGGCTGAGAGCTGGCCCTGAGATGGTCCAGGCCTGCTACTCTCTCCAGAATGGCCAGCCCATGCCCACAGCATGGGGCACGGAGCATGCTCAGGCAGTGGCCAGAAGCATGCTAGTCATGATTGTGCGACCAGAAGACCATGGGACGAAGCTCAGCTGTGAGGCCCACAACAGCGTATCTAAAGGGATCCAGGAACGTGGGGTCACACTACAGGTTACCTGTGAGTATTGGTGCGAGCTGCCTATCTGTCATTCCATGTACCAGAGAGCCATCTGTCTGTGCCCCCAAATCATGCCTGTCTAGTGCAAAATACCTCATCATCTGTTCCCAGGCTCCCTGTCTATTTGGGCCAGTCTGTGTGGCATCCAGTCCAGCTTAGTGTCTCTCCTCTGCTCATTATCTCTCAGTTCCCCCCAGTGCCATTACTATCCTGGGATCTGCATCCCAATCTGAGAACAAGAATGTGACGCTGTCCTGCATCACCAAGTCCAGTCGCCCACGGGTCCTGCTGCGATGGTGGCTGGGCTGGCGGCAGTTGCTGCCCACAGAGGACACTGTCATGGATGTGAGGCAGGGGCTAGGCTCCTGGGTGTGAGGGAGGAGGGAGTTGAAGGCATGGCTCTTAAATCTGAGAGAGAATGCCTTGGTTGTTGGGGAGCATGAACTGGGACCTGGACATCCTGGCTCTGACAGAGGAGGGGGTGGGAAGGCTTCATGCATCCCTGCTGGGGCATGAAGTGGACTCAGGCCTCTGGTCCATGGATGAGAGTGCCCTAGTCCCTTGCCTGAAGGTCTTTCCTGCCAGGGCCTTCATGGTGGCTACATCTCCATGTCCAACCTGACATTCCTGGTACGACGGGAGGACAATGGTTTGACCCTCACCTGTGAGGCCTTTAGTGAGGCCTTCACCAAGGAGACCTTCAAAAAGTCACTAACGCTGAATGTGAAATGTGAGCCCCTATCCTCCCCTGAGGGGTATCCCCTGCCTTAATAACCCCACCCTGAGTCTTCAACCCAGAGAGAGATCTGTGTCTCTCTCCACAGATCCTGCCCAGAAACTGTGGATCGAGGGGCCCCCAGAGGGGCAGCAGCTCCGGGCTGGGACCCGGGTGAGGCTGGTGTGTTTGGCCATTGGAGGCAACCCAGACCCCTCCCTCACCTGGTACAAGGTCAGTGCCAAGCAAGGGCTGTAGAATGGCCAAGAATGTGGGGAAGTGCTGAAGCCCTGTCTCTCCTCCAGAGTCTTTGGAAATCTTGGAAAAACCTGAATTAAAAAGAAATACCAAGGGTTTCAAGTTTTGTCAGGGAATTGAAAAAGACACAAATGCCATAAGAATTAAGTGGAATCCTAGGAAAATCCTGGGAAACCAGTGAGAATCTTAGCTTAATTCCTTTAAATTAAAGAAATTCTGGCCCTGGCTGGTGTAGCTCAGTGGATTGAGTGCGGCGGGCCTGCGAACCAGACAATCTCGGTTTGATTCCCAGTCAGGGCACATACCGGGGTTGCAGGCCAGTTCCCTGCAGGCCAGTTCCCAGTAGGGAACGCATGAAAGGCAACCATACATTGATGTTTCTCTCCCTCGCTCCTTCCCTTCCCCTCTAAAGATAAATAAGGAAAATCTTAAAAAAAAAAAAAAAAAGAAATTCTGGATCACAATTGGGAATTCCAGAGAAAAGAAAATTTCATTAAATGAAATTCTACTGAAATCTCAGAATCCAGGTGAAATGGTGGAAATTTTAGGGAAAGACTGAGAATTTCAGGAACAAAGACAACGACAGGCAAATACTAGAAATTTGGGGAAAGACTAGTAATTGCACAGAGCATTGAAAATTCATTAATTAGTATTAAATTGACTTCTTATTGAAATTGATTTGGAGATAAGTAAATGACAT